TCTTTTTTCCTTTTCTACCCCTGTCATTTCTCTCTTCTTCTCTTTCAAATTCACCTCCCCTTTTTCCCCTTCCCTCTTTCCCCTTTTTCATGATCTCACAGATATCACAATCGTGGGGGGAGAGAGAGAGACAGAGGCGGGGGGGGGTGGGATGGTGTTGGAGGGAGGGAGAGAGGGGAAGGAGTGTGTGTTGGAGGGAGGGAGAGAGGGAAGGAGTGTGTGTTGGAGGGAGGGAGAGAGGGAAGGAGTGTGTGTTGGAGGGAGGGAGAGAGGGAAGGAGTGTGTGTTGGAGGGAGGGAGAGGGGAAGGAGTGCGTGTTGGAGGGAGGGAGAGAGGGAAGGAGTGTGTGTTGGAGGGAGGGAGAGAGGGAAGGAGTGTGTGTTGGAGGGAGGGAGAGAGGAAGGAGTGTGTGTTGGAGGGAGGGAGAGAGGGAAGGAGTGTGTGTTGGAGAGAGGGAGAGAGGGAAGGAGTGTGTGTTGGAGGGAGGATCCCCAACACAGACAGGAAAATTATCAGAAAAACACGACTTCCTTAAAATCTTACCTCAGGGACTTAATCACGGTCATATATTATATATATATATATATATATATATATATATATATATATATATATATATATATATATATATATATATATATATATATATATATATATATATATTATATATATATATATATATATATATATATATATATATATTTTATATATATATATATATATATTATATATATATATATAATATATATATATTATATATTATATATATATATATACTTATATATAATAACATGTTAATCTTGCCAGAGTTCAAAAGTTTTATGACTTCCATTGACTTAGAAAATTATTTTTCTTTTATTGTTTATCGTGAGAAGCTCTAAATGCCAATGTAGCAGTGAAGGAATCGTTATCAAGGTGATGCCTTGAGAATGAAATGATTTGTGCCTGCCCGTCTTGTGGTACAAGGGTTGTCTGGCAACTGTTCGCGAGGTTATAATATAACCTTTACGGGTCATATTATAGGGTGGAAGGCAAGCCATGCAGTGTTGCATACCAGGGGTTTGTTGCAAGATTCATTGCACGGAGCATTATAGTGTTGCTGTTGGAGCATCAATTGAATGCTCACTGTACTGTAAAATGCTAAGCATTGTGTTGTGTGGTGGTCAGTCTCCTGGCTGTCTCAAGGGGGGGAAATTTGATTTGATACCTGTGATGTACGTTTGATGAGTTTCGAGAGTCTTTCTACTCGCGGAGCCAGGTTATGGGCCAGGCTTGTCTGGTCGTAGCCTGGCCAACCAGGCTGTTGCTGTCGTATTCTACTCCCAGCTAGATTTGCCTTATGTCTGTGTGAATGTATCTCTTCATATCTATCTACATCTTTGTCTCCCTCCCCCCTATCTCTCTCTCTCTCTCTCTCTCTCTCTCTCTCTCTCTCTCTTCTCTCTCTCTCTCTCTCTCTCTCTCTCTCCCTCCCTGCCTGAGACAAAACAAGGTCAGGGCAGGTGTTCTAATTGAGTTCGGCTCTGTGTTGGTAGTGTTACGTGAGTCTTCCTCCACAACATCACCACCCCCCACCATCACCACCACCACCACCACCACCACCACCACCAACACCACCACCAACACCACCACCATAACAACAACACCATATCACCACCATTAGACCAACCTCCTCTGGCAACCACTCTAAACCCACAATACTCAACTACACTCAGCACCACAACCACACACACACACTAGCAGCGGCCAGCAAAGAGGCGGGACCAGGAGCTGTGAATCGACCCCTGTGGCCACAAACATATTAGCACACACACACACACACAAACCTCTCCATCACACAAAAAAATATGGCATATAAAAACCCTAACTAATGTTTTACAAGTCTATTACGAGGGAGAGAAGTGAAAAAATTTACTTGACAACATACATCCAGGGTACAGAGGGAAGGGGCAAAACCCCTATGTAAACCTATTTCCGATTCTCACCAGCTTTGCTACACCCGCAGCTCCTAATTTCCAACCTATTAATATTCACACCGCACTTTCCCCTCAAAACACGACATCTCCACTGCCCCCAGCCCCCCCCCTGAAACGTTAACAACCCCATGTGAAGAAGAGAAACACTAAAAAAAGGTCCACAGGTCCATGGAACAAGTGCAAAATGACAACAATAGGAAAAAAAAAACTAGCCCTTGTTTTGGGGGACAATATTTAGCTCGTGTAGGTTTTTTGTCAAGTCATAGTGTGATGCATACAGTCTTTAGCGAAAAACTTGTCCCTAAAAAATGCTTATCCTGCAACTCAGGCCATGGTCAACATTGGCCCCCATGGTCAACCACTATCCTTTCCCCAAAATAAAGCTGCCTATTTTTCAAGCTGTCGACAAATATAATAAAATAATCATAATACAATAATAATAAAATAAATCATAATAATAATAAAAATAATAAAAATAATAATAAACATTAAGTGAACAGTTTTTTAGAAAAGGCTAAAGGGTTTTTGTGGCTTTATGGATTTGGAAAAAGGGGCGTTGCGGGTGGTTTTGGGGGGCAAGTGGCAGTTGTTGCAAGTGTTGGTGTAGGGGTAGGTTTTAAAAGCAGTGAAGGTTTTGAGGATAGTGAGGCTCAAGTTAGAGTATGTAGGAAAGGGGAAAATTTTTTTTTCCCAGAAAAGTTCCCTTTAGAAAAGGATGTTGATGTCAGTGGTTGTTTAATATTTTTTATAGAGGGGGTTGTAAGAGAAGAAAATCGAGGGTCTTGGAAAAGAGGCGTGGGATTTAAAAAAGATAAGAATCCACACAAAGTGGGAGTTGTCACAGTTGCTTTTTTGCTGATGACACTTTGTCCTGGGGATTTTGAAAAGAATTAGGGTTTGGGGGAAAATTTGGGGGGTTTGGAAAAAAAAAAATTAAAAAAAAGGAAAAATAGGTTTTTAAAAAAAAAATTTGGGGTGAAAATTGAATATCAGATTGGGGGAGAGGTTTGGGGGGTGAACGTTTTTAATTTTTGGGATGGACGTGTCAGCGGATGGGTCTATGAAAGATGAGGTGAATCATGAATTGATGAGGGAAAAAAAATAGTGGTGATTGGTTGTGGGGCAAAAAACTTTGTCCTTGGAGGCAAAGAGGGGAATTTTGAGATATTTTTAAATTTTTTTTTTAATGGGGTTTTAAAGGTTGGCGGGAGAAGGCTGGAGGGGGAGAATTTGGGTTGGGGTGGGGGGGAAAAAAAAAAAAAAAAAGAGAAATTCGTAGTTTGGAAGTTTGGGGAAAGGGGGCCCCCTTTTTTTTTCCCCCCCCAAATTTTTTCCCCCCCCCCCCCCCCCCCCCCCCCCCCCCCCCCCCTTTTTCCCCCCCCCCCCCCCCCCCCCCCCCCCCCCCCCCCCCCCCCCCCCCCCCAAAAGGTTTTTAATTTTAGTGTTGGGGGGTTAAAAAAAAAAATTTTTAAGGGACAGGGAAACCCAGGGGTTTTGTCCCGGGATGGGGAAAAAAGGTTCTGAAGGGGGGGGGGGTTTTTTTTTGTTTTGTTGAAAAACCCCTTTTGCAAAAAGGGGGTTTTGGGGAAAGGGAAATTTTTTTTTCCCCCCCCCTTGGGGGGAATGGGGGATAAAAAAAATTTAATAAAAAATAAAAAAAAAATAAAAAAATTAAAATTTAAAAAAATTTTTTCAAAGTAAAGGGGGTTTTGGCTTTAAATTTATGAAACCCCTTTTTTGAAATCCCCCCTCCCCCCCCCCCCCCCCCCCCCCCCCCCCCCCCCCCCCCCCCCCTCCCCACCCCCCCCCCCCCCCCCCCCCCCCGCCCCCCCCCCCCCCCCCCCCCCCCCCCCCCCCCCCCCCCCCCCCCCCCAGGGTGTAGGAAGGGTTGTGAGGTGGTTCGCGATCATGTAGAAAAGAATGGATGCGAAACAGAATAGTCTTCAAGATGTTATCAGTCTGGTTGTAGTTGGAGGTAAGCGGGTAGGGTGGCCTAGGAAGGGTTGGAGGGACGGGGGTAAAGGAGGTTTTTTTTTGTGTGCGAAGGGGCCTTGGACTTCAGCAGGCATGCCATGAGCGTGTTTGATAGGAGTGAATGGAGACAAATGGTTGTGTTTTTAATATTGACGTGCTGTTGGAGTGTGAGCCACTAGTAACATTTATGAAGGGATTCAGGGAAAAACCGGCAGGTCGGACTTGAGTCTGGAGATGGGAAGTACAGTGCCTGCACTCTGTGAAGGAGGGGTGTTAATTTTGCAGTTTAAAAACTGTAGTGTAAAGCACCCTTTCTGGCAAGGGACAGGATGCAAGTGAATGATGCTTGAATGTTTTTCTTTTTCGGGTCCACCCCTGCCTTGTGTGGGAGAATCGGCGGTGTGTAATTAAAAAAAATAATAATAATAATTAATAATAATAATAATAATAATATAATAGTAATAATTAATAATAATAATCTTTATTTATACAAGTACATGTACAAGGGTATAACAGGCCTAGCTGACTCATCTAGTTTGA